CAGGGAGCAGATGGAAGTTGGCAGACAGTTTCAAGCCTCAAAAAGTTTATTATCTCAAAATTAAAAAAAAAAAAAATAGACAAAGGATAGTGCAAAAGATGCGGCCCACATGCTTGAATGTGTCCATGGTGGAGGTTGGAAAAGAGCCTCACTTTTCTGATTTCTGTCCTGGTATTTTTGTCACCAGCCTTCACTGCCCATCTGCACTGAAGTTTGGGGATTCCAAGCACCATATCAATGAATTCTAGCAGGTTACCCAGCATATTTGTGTAGAGCCAAGCAGAAAAAAGGTTTTGTACCTCCAAGACCAGAACTATGTAAGACATGCAAGGTAAAGTGCTCTTTTAGAAAACTACTCCCAGAAGTAAACAGCAAAACTTGTGTATTTAATACTGTCTGGTCCAATACTCAGACCTTTTATCTAAGCCTAGCCTCTAAATCTTCATGTATTAGAAGGTTTATTTGGGTTTTTAAGGCTGTTGAACTTATGTTTCCTTTCCATGCTGAGTGGAAAGATGCTGGCTAATTATTCATGAGTGGCTACATCTGATTCCATTACCTTGCTCCTTTTACAGCCATGCAAAGTTGATGTGAAACAGTACTGATAGGAATTATTTGGTGCTTCATAGTCCCACTGCACTGGCAGAAATGGCTGGGTTAGACATAAGGCAGGGAGAAATAGATAGATAGATAGATAGATAGATAGATAGATAGATAGATAGATAGATAGATAGATAGATAGATAGATAGATAGATTTAATCAGAGGCAATATAAATTAGTTTATGAAATTCTCCACTTAGGGGCATGACACCTTTTAGACTCTTTCAAAATAAACTTATTAAAATATAGCCAGTGTTAAGAGAAATTTTGTAGGAGTGTAACTTCTCTCTCCATAATGAACACATTTTAATGTAACTTACATTTTGATCCAAATCTCCACCTTTTAAATCTCCTCTTTGCCTGCACTTATGGCTTTTGCGGTTTTGGACAATCTGAGATTTTTCTTTGTTGGTATTAGAGCCAGGAAAAAAAAATGTGATAGGAGCAGCATTTCTAGTGAAATAGAAATCCTTCACATATCAAAGCAAATAAAGAGTTTTGATCATTTCAAATGCTTCACCTAGGTATATTCTTTAATTAGAGAAAATTTTAGATGCCATTATGTAACTCAACAGCATGTGACATCACTTCTTAAAATCCTCACTCCTTTCCCTCAGCCCATTCAGATCCTAGGAAAAAGAGAAACTGCTGTAAAATGTAAAGAGAAAGAAGATTAAAACCACTAAATTATACAAGAGCAATCCATTGGTTTGATTCTTTTTCAGACCATTATTAGTGAAATAAAGAGACAGACTTATTTTCAAAGACAATAGAACATGTGTGTGGGTCCCATAGTCCTCACCAGATTTTATCAGCACTGCCCATCTCTGAATTTGACAAGATATCATGTAGGCACAGTGGGCCAGAGAGAACTCTTTTTTTTTTTTTTTTTACAGCTTTGGCAAAAACTAATGTTGGTCTGCCTAGAAAAGCTTACTTCCTGATTTTTGTGCTATTAGATCATGCTTACAGTTTGCTACATCTCAGATAATTAACAAAGAAAAATACTCAGAAGAAAGAGTGAGAGTAATATGAACTGGGGATCACAAACATAAAACTGACAGTGATACTTGCTGTAAGCTGCTAAATTCCTGTTCCAAGAAGCTGTAGATGATAAATCTATCAGAGATGAACACCAGTGAACAAATTGCCAGGCCTGACTTTCAGGCATTTCTGTGCTTAAATTGGAGAAAAGTTAAACTGGAGAAAAATACTGGGATTCTTCCTGTCAATACCATTACTCAGACATAATTTCATGAAATCTTGAAAGCAGACTCACACTTTCAAAGCCACAAAGCCTACAAAAACATGCCCATCCCTGGGAAAGGATGCTGTTAAATCCAGATAGGAGGAAGCAGGCTCTTCACACTCATTTAGGAGGTACTTCCTGCTCTGCTGAAGTGGGGACTAAAATCACTCAATTACCCTCTGAAGCCAAAGTGTGAGCACACGAGGTCTAACAACGAGAGAGATCATGGGTGTGATGTTCTCTACCGATAGCACTGTCAGCTGTACCACTGCAGAAAACTTAATGCCTGGTCAGGACTGGTTATTTATTCTCTTTAATACAGCAAAGCATCAGTTTCAAGATACTTGCTGTGCAAGGTCAGCCTGAAGGTTGTACTAAGCAGGAAAAGCTCACTCAGGAGATTTATTTGTATACTCCAAGAAGAGGATTGCATTTGGAGTCAGGATAAAGAAAGGGGCTATCTTCACAAACCCTTAAAATGCAAAATGGTATTTATTCCCCTCTCTCCTTCTCACCTGTGAGTGCTACCTGTCTTAAGGAAGTGTCAGCATTTCCTTCTGCAGCCTGAATTCTAAGTGCTCTGTGACTGTGCAACAACTTGACCCGGGATGGAATACAGCAGGCATGCTCAGGCTACTAGGAACATCTTCCCAGCTGCTTGGTGCAAGATGCTTTTGGTTTCTCATTTTACTCATATTCAGACAATCTCTGGTTGTTACTGATATTGTATAGAAAAGTGCTTTTCTGAAGCACTTTTCTGTAGAAAAATCTTAGAAGTCTTCAACTGATTTTTCAGGAAAACTTGCTATACTAAGGCCACTAACATTCAGATAAAAGCATATAGAACCTGCACACATTTATATAGGATCACAAAGCACAGGATCAACACCACCTATTTTACAGATGAAGAATCAGTGCATGGAGAAATTTCCCTGTTTAACAGGAGAATCTGTTAAAAAATATACCCAAAATCCAGTTTCTCAGTTTCCCTAATCTTCATATTGTTTATCTCCCAGATATATTATGCATTGATTTCAGCATGTCAGCATGTACAGTAGATCCTCACATAACAGTGCTGTGAGAACCTGAAGTGTTCAGGAAAAAATATTGCATTATGTTTTAAATCTGTGACAATGGTTCTGACCTCTTTGGCAACAAAGCTGAATTTGAAAAGCAGAAGAGTCTGTTTGCTTCTGTATCCTTCCAAGCTTATTTGCTCTTACTGGCCTAACACTGGCATAGGCTGCCCAGAGAGGCTGTGGGATCCCCAGCCTTAGAGATGCTCAGACATGGACTAGGCAAGAGCAACCTGGTCCAGCTTTGAAGCTGTATGAAACAACCTCCAAAGGGCCCTTCCAGCCTAAATGATTTTGTGATTTTATTCTCTTCAATTTTCTTTGTATTCTATTACATAGTTCACCTCAAACTGTGGCAAATCCATGCTTTTGATTTTGTTTGCTAATATAGAAGGTCAGGTGTAATTCTGCAACAGGTCTACCCAGGAAGGCAGACAAGAAACTCCTTGAATGCAGGAGAGTTTTGATAGTTTGAAGCATAGGTTATTTTTAAAGAGTCTGTTCCTTTGGCAGCAGTTTTGTTCGGATTATTGCACTGCATTCACTGGGGCAACACAGAAGAAACTAGCTCTTTTTAACCCCTGTGTTGACTACACTGTTGAAAAAGGGACACTGTGACTAAGAGGAAACTAAACAAGTATTTGATAATATTTGTATTATCATGATTGCTCATGCTTATAAAGACAGGGAAATACCTCATATGACATCTCTTGTCCAGGTGACACACAAGACAAACAAGAAGATAACAGATGTAGGGAGTGCAATGGCAAGAGGTATTACCATACCTGTACTACTCCAACACACAAAGACACTTAGATATATGAAAATTAATTGATTAAAGGAACATTGAGCAGGGCAACTATGGTTACAAGACTTGCAAATTTTGGTCTCACTGCACTGACTGTACTCCTCAATTATCATGGAATACAACCAAGAGATCTCCTTTAGGCTGAGAAAAGACTGAGAAAAGCTAAGAAAGCTGGTGTTGATCAGCTTGGAGAATAGAATTCTCCAGGGAGACATTATTACTGTCAACAAGGTCTCCCTGTCAATATGTAAAGGGAGCTCATAAGAAAGATGTCGACTGACTTTTTAGTAAGTCCTGTTGTGACAGGACCCTGGGTAATGGTTTTAAAATAAACAAGGGAAGATTCATACTAGAAGAGATTTATTTCTACAATGAAGGTGGTGGAACACAAGCACAGATTTCCCATAGAGGTGGTGGATGCCTCATCCCTGGAAATATTCAAGGCCAGATTGTAATTGCAATCCAACATCCTTTAAAAAAAAATAATCTAATTCTGGTAGAAGTCTTACACTGTAATGAAGTAAAAATAAAGAAAACTGTGAGTTTTCTGGTGAAAATCAATAGATTGGTGTCCTTTGGGATCAGCTAATATGCTTACCTGAAACCTTTTCCTTACCTTCCCTATCCCCCCACTCCCAAAAGATCTAGAGAAGGGAACTGAGAACAGAGGCATTTGAGAGCTCAGCTTGATAATGCGACTCTTCTCAACCTGTCTGGAGTTTGCCAAGAAAAGTCTGATGATGCCAAGGACTCTGCTCCTTGCTGTAGAGCCCACCTGAGACTGCCACTAGTATTTACTAGCACCTTTCTTAGATCTGAAATATCACAGCTCTCTCTAAGCTGGGAGCAGCCATGATACTGCTGACAGAATGCTGAGAAAAGTACTGCCTGGCATTTGTCCTAGAAGGTGTGCTCTCTCTTTAAGGCAAGGAAGTGACAGAAGACCAAGCTCAGGAAGGTGCAATTTCAATATGTCCTTAACCTTAAATCCCACAGAAAGCCCTGAGATTTAAGTGCTTGCTTAAATTAATGCTCACACTAAGATGCTATCTGTATAAGAATGGATTTTAGCATGTACTTATATACTGCTTTCCCTCCCAGCCTGAATGTTAGGCTAGTGGGACTTGGCATCTTAAGCCCACAGGAAGAAGGCTTGGCCTTATATTTACATTTAATACAGCTCTTGCCTCTCTCTGATGTTTCAGAATCAAAGCCCCCGTACTTAACCTACTGTTTAACGTTTCTCTCATATCTTTCTTTCCACAGTATGTGGCATTTGCATCCCTGTTCTTCATTCTGGTCTCCATTACCACCTTCTGCCTCGAGACCCACGAGAGATTTAACCCCATTGTGAACAAGACAGAAACTGAATTCATCGGGAATGATACACAGGTGCGGCACTACAGGGAAGCAGAGACGGAAGCCTTTCTCACCTACATCGAAGGTGTCTGTGTGGTCTGGTTTACATTTGAGTTCTTGATGAGAGTAACTTTCTGCCCAAACAAGGTGGAATTTATCAAAAACTCTTTGAACATCATTGACTTTGTGGCCATACTGCCCTTCTATCTAGAGGTTGGACTCAGTGGCCTGTCTTCCAAAGCTGCTAAGGATGTCCTGGGCTTCCTCCGCGTAGTCCGTTTCGTGCGAATCCTGCGAATTTTCAAGCTGACCCGCCACTTCGTCGGGTTGCGGGTCTTGGGACACACCCTCCGTGCCAGCACAAACGAATTCTTGCTGCTCATCATATTTTTGGCATTGGGCGTCTTAATCTTTGCCACGATGATCTATTATGCCGAGAGAATAGGTGCTAAACCAAATGACCCTAGTGCCAGTGAACACACACACTTTAAAAATATCCCCATCGGCTTTTGGTGGGCTGTTGTCACCATGACGACCCTGGGCTACGGAGACATGTATCCTCAGACTTGGTCAGGCATGCTGGTGGGGGCCCTCTGCGCTCTCGCTGGTGTGCTGACCATTGCCATGCCTGTCCCTGTCATTGTGAACAATTTCGGAATGTATTACTCCTTAGCTATGGCTAAGCAGAAGCTACCAAAGAAAAAAAAGAAGCATATCCCGAGGCCACCCCAGCTGGGATCCCCCAATTATTGTAAATCTGTCGTAAACTCTCCACACCACAGTACTCAGAGCGACACATGCCCACTGGCCCAAGAAGAAATTTTAGAAATTAACAGAGCAGGTAGGAAACCTCTTAGAGGAATGTCCATCTGACCGTTAACCTCCATCCCGCGTAGTGATTTAAGATTCAGCCAGACTGCTTTCTTAGAGCAATGGGTAGCACATTTATCCATTCTAGTCCCACCATCACACAGTGAATAATATGTGTGAAGTCTAGGTTGCAGGGACAAATGGTACAGTGGAGGCTGATCGGCAAAACTAAGGATGAGAGCACGCTCTAGGAGCCCAAACTTTGGTCCTGGTTAAGGGCATACAAGTCTCAAGATATTTTTGAAAGCTGTTACATCTAGTGGAAGAATTTTGAGAGTTCTACAGCTGTGTTGCTGGACTGTGTAATGCATCTCAGAGGCTCCTGAGAGCTGAATGCTTCATAGAGCAGAGTAGGAGCCAAGTACTCAGCAATTACAGAGCTTTCTGACAAAACAGGGCTGGAATTCGAAACAGCCAGATGCTTTCTCATTTGTTCCCATTTGGGACCTTTCAGCTGTTTTAAATGGCAGATATTGTACATCTCATTACAGAAACTAGGTGCCTAGTAAGTTGAAGGGACAACTATACCATCATGCATATTCATGAGACAATCCTGTCTCTTTCTGATGATTAACTGCAAAGTAGAACAACAGCTCAAATTCTTGACACTAATGCAAAATGACTCACTCTGAGACAAGACTAGATGTAAGGATGTTTATTCCATGGCATGCAATTCAATCTCTTCTATAGTATTCCACTAGAATTTAGCATTTAGAACTATGAAGAGTTTTGAACCACATTTTCTAAAACATGTTCCTTTTGCAAGTATGGGTTGGTGAGTTACAGCTCTTTCAACCTTCTAGCAGCAAAGGCCAACTGGAAAAGGTCTGACTGGTCATTACTGGCTGGTTTGGCCTAAATAGTGATTGCCTCACTTTTAATTGTACTGATTCATGTTAGCAATAGGTGAAACCGGAGCAAAATTAACCATACTGATTCTACTTTGGGGGGGGTGGGGGAATGGAAAGAATACTAGTCACCATGGAATATATTATAATATCCCATGGCTAGTGGTTAATTATGGGAATATCTCAGTTCTATGAGACTCCTATAGCACACAAAATTACGGGGCTCCAATTTGATTTTTTTAATATACCCATAATCTACCTCTACCCATGGAATATCACTATTTATTCTATAGAGTAATTTGAAAGTAGATAACTACGTTGAAAACAATGCCAACTTCATTTTTGGCAGATGTTCCAGCCAAGTTGCATAGTAGACATTCATCAGCCTTTTCAGAATATTCCCCTGCGTTGTATTAGAAAGGACAGATTGCCAGCCAAGTGATCTCAACTGACATAGAGTTCAAAAGAGGTGCTTTGGAAGAGCTAGCATATACCTATGATGGTCTTGTGTTATCATATTTTTGCTTTGAAGAAAATTCTGATTTGTTACTCATTGTGAGTGAGATATTTTCTCGTCATCTCATAGCCATGCATGTTGATGTCATTGTTAGAAGCACAAAGAAAGTGAGACTTTCCTTTGTGTGTGACTTCACCAATGCCAATGCTAATTTTGGAGGGGAAGAGCTGGTGGGAATCTTTCTCTTCTTTCCTATTCTCTTTTATCTTCCTTTCTTATTTCTTTTCCCTTCTGTGCAAGTATGTAAAATCCATTCAGAAGGTAAATAGCTTTCATTTTGTTTTTGTTAAAGGCTATTTCCATTGCAACAGGCCAATCACAATTCACATGACTGATAGACTGTACCAATTGTATCCTTGGCGCACATAAGCGATGGTCTTATCATCCATTCCCCTCAGGTTGCAAATGCTTATCACAGCTCATGTTCAAGCAGCAAACTTCCTCATAAAGCAGATGCTTTTGTGGCATCATGGATCAAGAGGGAAAGAGGGCACAGCAATATTGTGTGTCTCCTACCCTGAGCAATGTTCCAACTGCCCCATGATAGGGTGCAAGAGATGCCATACTCTGGGGTACTTTAGCAGTCAGCTACGGAGTGAAATCAACTCCAAAATCCCTGGCTTTATAAAGTTCCTTCTATTATCTACCCTGGTCCTCTCTGGAAACTGGAGGATCAGGAGCTCTACGAGTTCAGTACAATTCCACACTGGTATCCTGAGAATACGTGTAATTTTGGTTCAATGTGGAACTGTTTCGCCACCATCAGTGCTCTAAACTCAGCTGTTACCACAATATCCATGAAGTATTGATAGTAGCAGCAACTAATCTATTTCTGCAATAATTGAGAGACTATTTTTATATACATATACAAGCATATATATTTTAAGAAGCAACAAAGCACACTTACACTTCAGCTAACAAAATTGTAACACTGTAGCTGGAGTTCTGTTTTTAATAATTATTATGCACCACTAGCAGCAAAAAATATTGCCTGCATCTTTTAGCTTCCAAATAGGGAAAGATCCATATGTGTGCAGGAGAAAAACAAAAAATACTGAGATAAGAACCAAACTGTTAAGACAAGATCTGCATTGCCTTGGATGTTAAACTTAATTTCTGTAACATGAAGCATTCACAGGCACTGACTTGTTTTTCAAACTATTACCTGCACGTTATATGAAAACAGGGACTTGCAAGCAGTGAAAATCTTTAGATTGGTTAACATCATCTAGCTATAAACAGCTAGTTAATATTGCACTAGGAACACAGAATAGAACAGGTGCCTAACTTTTCTAAAATAGTGCCCAGGTTGTCCAGCATATTTCTTGTAATTTTTTAACTGTAAAGCTTCAGTGTGACAGTGTCTAGGTCACATAAGATCATGTGATTTGTATCCAATATGTTATTAAAAAACAAAAAGCCTGCATAGTTCCTCAGCTGTAAAGGACATCACATGAAGTTATTAATTCCATATATTATTTGTGGTGGAATGATTAAACACATCACCAGACAGGGTCGAGCATGAAGTAGTTCTACACATGACTCCCTCTCTCATGCACCGAGTCAGCACTTCACATCTGTTCCTGGTCCATGCCTTCAGAGCCAAGGGGCTCTACAGAGAGCTCAGCACAGCTCTGCCTGGTGCCTCCTCCCAGGATGAGAAGCACTTTCCTGGCACAGGCATGCAAACAGCAGAGCTTTGCCCACAGGCTGCACAGCTGCTGCCAATGATGCTTTGGTCATTTGCAGGCAAAGCAAAGATGCTTTGAATTTAAATCTGGCAGGTTTGAATTAAATATTTTTATTGCCCCCAACACTCTCAGCAGCTCTGTCCTGGGCTAATCTACACCTGGTAGGAGGGTATCTTTAATTAACAGCACTTGATTTTAATCCAATACAAAGAATGTCAGAATTTCATTCTACCATACCTCCCCTTTCTGCAGCAACCCTTCCTGTTTTCCATACCATCTGATCACACCAGGGGGTGGCTGGGAAAGCAGAAGAAGGGAGGAAAGGCATTTCAGGGTACAGGATGGCAGAGCTAGTGCTGCAGGCAGACCTTCACCAGCAGCATTAAGAAAGGAGAAATTTCCTCTGTACAAAACATTGTCTTCAAGGCAGTTTCTGCTACCCATACATTCTCAAAATATTGCCTGGGGAAACTGAGCCTGATACAAAGCAGCAGATTCCACCTGACCAATTTCACCAAAACTCTTTGACCTGGGGATAGCTCAAACTATAGAGAACCGCGCGTCACTTCATTTAACATCCACCCACCAAATTCTAGCATCTCCATGTCAAACGATTAACGTTATGTTGCAGTGTTATTTACAGGCCCTGTTCAAGATCAGGGCTTCATTTTGGAATCATTTTATGTGGAATAACCACTACACTGCAATCAAATGCCCAACAGGATAAGTGGACAACAAAAAGCTTATGGAAGTAATCTCCAATATTTCCAGTTGACACACAGCTTAATTTAATAGTGAAAGATTGCTTGAAAGGTCTGCGGCAGAGCCACTAGTTGAATGTAACTAAATAAGCATTAGTCAACCAGACTCTGCTGTGCTGGAGTGTCTTTTATCTCAAGACTTGAGTATTCTAAACAGTCAGTATCATAACAGAAGAAAAAAACAACCAAACCCAGAAAAAGACAGTTTCAACCACTTAAACATTATTTTTGTCCCAAACTTCACACTGTCCTACAGGAATAATAATTTAATTAGTATACAAGTGCACTTATGGTGCATGTTTGTAAGAAGACCTCAAAACATGCAAAACAGATGTTAAATGTTCACAGTTTTGTCTTTAAAGTGTTGCCCAGTTCCTCAGCCCCTCTCTTACATGAGCTGTGTGCTTACCTACTGGACAGGTTGACTGCATGGGTACATCTCACATTTGTCACTGGATGAAGCAGTGAATGTAACTTCCCAACACTGTAAAATAAATTTAGAACATGTGGAATTCATAACTTCATTTGATGCCTACAGTACTGTCTGGTGCCACACAGCTATGGTCTAAAGAATGCATCCGTAATTCATAAGCCAAGGAGATGGGTTATTTGCGGTTTGTTCAGAGATCTTCCCCACCCTTTTATTCTTTTCATATATGTATTTACAACACCAGCACACAAAAGGTTTATATTGATTTAACACAGCCAGATTAAGAATTTCTCACCTCTCTGATCCCCTCTGCATGCAGTTTCATTTAAGCTATACTCCAAGGATATCCTATCTTCATACAAATGTACTGTGCAGGCTCTTTCACAGGGTACTGGTGACAAAATTCTCTATTCATTGCACGGCTGTAAAATACAGAAAGAAATTACTAGAACTGAGGCACCTAAGATGAGACAGGAAATATCTGTCATTACTAACACAGACTTCAGCTTCAGAAAAACAGTGTATAGTTCTTTTACTTCTCTGCCCCAAAGCCAATTTTCAATAACACACTCCTAGACTATCCTGATGTGTGAATAAAGTAATCCAAGTCTATCACTGAGAGTAGGGAGCTACAAAGCTGCAGTGACTCCAGTGTACTCCATGGTCAGATGAACTAGAACAAGCTGTGATGTTAGGAACCTATTATTTCAGTGCAATTTCCCAA